TAAATCGGAAGAGGAGTAAGATCAAGGTCATCCCCGATCACCACTGCAGTTTGTAAGTAAATAACGGAATATCAGTCATACAAAAATTAACAAATACACAGACTTCTGATAAACAGCAGAATCCCAATATCTTCAAAATATATCACACACAAACAAAACATCGCCAAAAATGAATCCACAGAAGTACCATATTTCCCTATGTAATTCCTGTCAATATGAACCTGAGATCAATCGTTTGTTTGGTATCATGACATTCCCAACAACTCAGCAGTATCAGGAGCATAATATTTAAGTGATAATATTCTTTCTCACTTGATATGATAATAGTCAAATGATCGACACAATCTACTTTATTGTTAATAAAAAAGATCAAATAGTTTTTTTTTAATACAATGGCTACTTGTGAATGGATTGTTTTGATTGCTCATTGTTTTAATGTTCATATGAAGATGATTGTATAGTCACAAAAACGTTCAATGCTTTGGCTAAAATAACAATGTTCACCTTCTGCATTTTATTACTGCTTTCACTCATTTGAATATATGCTTCAAAGAACAATCACTCAATGAAGATAGACAAACTTTTCTATTTATGATCATGTTTGTTCACACTGTCCTCTATGCCAGCTCTACACATCACCCGAAGTATACCCACAGCTGCTTCCTGTCCCAATTTATAAGGCACGAGTTATGTATAATATAAGTGAGCATCCCAAGCAATACAGCTGATTCTTGTGTCAATTTATAAGGCACAAGAGATGTATAGTATAAGTGAGCATTCCAAGCAATACAGCTGATTGATGTCTCAATTTATAAGGCACAAGAGATGTATAGTATAAGTGAGCATTCCAAGCAATACAGCTGATTCTTGTCTCAATTTATAAGGCACAAGAGATGTATAGTATAAGTGAGCATTCCAAGCAATACAGCTGATTCTTGTGTCAATTTATAAGGCACAAGAGATGTATAGTATAAGTGAGCATTCCAAGCAATACAGCTGATTCTTGTGTCAATTCATAAGGCACGAGTTATGTATAATATAAGTGAGCATCCCAAGCAATACAGCTGATTCTTGATCATCCCAAATAATGCTGTTTTTACCAGAACTATATTCATATATTGATTCAATGTACAAATGATCCAAAGACCTGACACATAGGACTAGTTCGCGTGCTATGTAGATGTCATACACATTCAGTCATCTATAATATTACTCTGTATTTAAAAGTATACTGGACAGAACGCTTATGTCAATGCGTAAATAGCCATACTTCTTGGTCATCAGAATAGAATAACGCATGCGTATATGAAGTGGCATTTATTACATAGGAAATCATTTGTAAACTGGACACGCCCGTCATAACCATTCTGTCCTGTTTAATCAGCTTAAAGTGACAACATAAAGGAATATAAAACATATTGAAAATAATGTGTGTTCGATGAATTCTTTCAATAATTTTTATCAGGG